ATGTTTGAGACAGAATTATAAACTCGCTCATTCGGTACTACATTGACGTAATTGTAATTTTGGCACAATTGTTCATTAATTCAATTGAATTATCAAAATTACAATTACGTCAATGTAGCACCGAATGAGCGAACTGTTTTCGTAATGAAATTGACTCCGGAAATTTAAATAAATTAATTGAAAATATTGTGTACTGTGGGAGCGTGGCCGTGGTTGTAGCGTAAAGTACGTGACGTATGTGATTATTATATTTATTTACTTTAGCAAAATACCGTTAACAGGAACAAATTTTAATAAAAAATATTTAATTTTTTTTTTTTTTTTTTTTTTTTTTTTTTTTATATACTAAGCTCGACAGATGACTCCGTCCCACCTGATGTTAAATGAAACGGAGTCCAGACGCAAGGACAACTGGTGCAGCGTGAAAACAACGCATCATCAGTCGCCCTCACCCTGCCGGCCTACAAGGTGCTTCTTCACGCCTCGCTTGAAGGACCCCAAGTCATAGGAAGGAGGAAATACGTGTGCTGGTAGATTGTTCCATCTTTTGGAAGTGCGACAAAGAAACGAGTCACCAAATTTCTTTGTGCGCGATGGAATGCTAGAGACAGTATAGCGGTGACTCCGGAGAGCAGCACGCGTGCTCCTATGGAGGAAGGGAGAAGGTGGGATAAGGTCAAAGAGTTCTTCAGAGCACTCGCCGTGGTATAAACGGTAGAAAGCGCTGAGTGACGCAATATCTCTACGCAATTGCAGAGGTTCGAGAGTATTAGTGACCTCTGCATTGCCGATAATGCGTATAGCGCGCCGCTGCAATCTGTCCAAGGCATCGAGAAGGTACTTAGCGGAACCGTCCCAGAGGTGCGAACAATACTCCACGCACGATCGCACTTGTGTCTTATACAAGAGACACAACTGATCCGGCGCGAAGAAGCGTCGCACTCTGTTCAGGACACCGAGTTTACGTGAAGCTGTTTTTATCACGGCTTCAATGTAGTCCCTCTGGTTCAGATCGCAGCGAATCTCCGTACCGAGCATGCTAATGCTGCTCTGTAGGCTAAGTGGTGTGCCCTGAAGAGAAGGAAGGGGAAGGAATGGTGTCTTTTTTGCCGTGAACGCGCACACCTGTGTTTTCTTGGCATTGAACTCAACAAGATTATTGGAGCCCCATTGAGATATGAGGTCCAACACCCGATTGAGCTCAATGACAAGATTCACTCGCTTCTCTTCAGTCTCGACCCGCCCAGCCGCAGGGTGACCATTATACCCTCCGTGCACTGTACTATCATCTGCATAGCAATGAATATTTCCAAGTGGAAGCATATCATTGATATGCAGAAGGAACAGCGTGGGGGATAGAACGGACCCCTGAGGGACACCAGCGTTCACTGACATGAATTCCGAAGCGCATCCGTCTGACAGCACTCGGATTCTGCGCTCATGCAGGAAGCCAGCGACCCAGTTGCAGAACTGGGCAGGCAGGCCGTATGACGGGAGTTTGGAGAGAAGAGCTTTGTGCCAGACCCGATCAAAAGCCTTGGCTATGTCAAGGCTAACAGCCATCGACTCGCCACGCTTATCAATAGCCACACCCCAGAGATGTGTAATAAACGCTAAAAGATCACCCGTTGACCGTTTCGGCCGAAACCCGTATTGACGATCGTGAATTAAGGAGTGTTCTTCTAGGTAGTGGATTAGCTGTTTATTTAAAATCCGTTCCATCACTTTACACAAAACTGAAGTTACGGCTATTGGGCGGTAATTATTCGGATCTGATCGATCTCCTTTTTTTGGGGACCGGTTGCACATTAGCCTTTCTCCAAGATTCCGGCACACAACCTGAAGAGAGCGAGAGGCGGTAAAGGCGCGTTAACACGGGGGACAACTCCGCTGCACACATTTTCAGAACGATTGGAGGAATGCCATCAGGACCATTAGCTTTCCGGACATCGATTGACTGCAACTCTGCACGGACATCACACTGCCTGATTTTAAGATCGGGCATTGTGTGGCCACAGTGAGGAATTATAGGTGGCTGTGCATTGCAGTCGTCGATTCGGGAGTTAGCCGCAAAGAGTTTAGCCAGGAGATCGACCTTCTCCTGCGGCTTGTGGGCTAAAGTTCCGTCAGGACATCGTAATGGTGGCAGCGAGGGTTGGCAGAAGTTGGATTGCACGGCTTTGGCCAGACGCCAGTAGCTACGGCTGCCCGTAGGATGCGTCAGTAGTTCTTGGCCGACCCGAGCAACGCGCTGGGCATCCGCTCTAATGTAAGCCCTTTTGCAGGACTTGGTGGCATTATTGTAGGCTGCTTTCAGCGAGTGGGTTTCGGGATCTCCAAGTCCTATACCTTTGATCCAAGCGCGATATGCCTCTTGCCTTTTATCAGCAGCACTGGCACACTCGCGGTTGAACCATCGGTTGCGTCTGCCTTTGCCGATGAGATAGGAATTTGGAATGTAGTATTCCATCCCTAAAACTATCTCATCAGCAACTGCAGCCGCACTAGCTGTTGGGTCCTTCCCACTGAAGCAGCGCTGCCCCCAAGGAACGGATGCGAAATAATCCCGCATACCATCCCAATCTGCCGACGAGTGGTGCCAAATCTGGCGTTTCGATACCGCGGAAGGCGGTAGCGGGTCCAGAGGCACTTTACTGGATACCAAGCAGTGATCAGAAGATCCTAAAGGAGCTCGAACCTCCACTCGGTAACCAGCTGGACGATTCGTCAGCAGAAGGTCCAACAAAGAGGGCGCGTGACCGACTACATCTGGGATCCTGGTGGGCTGGTTCACCAGTTGAGTCAGGTCGTGCGTGAGGGCGAATGCATGGGCAATTCTACCAGCATGGTCAGTTTTGGAGGAACTTAACCACAACTCGTGGTGAGCATTGAAGTCCCCCAAAAACACCAATTCCGCCAATGGAAATCGCTCCTGCGCATCATCTGCTACCCGACTAAGATGGTCCATAAGTCGAGTTGTCTCCATGTCGCCATTATGGGATCGGTAGACGCAAACATAGACACGGCTATGAGAGCCCAAGTCGACGTGTACCACAAGGAGGGAAAAGGAAGGGTCCTCCAGACAGCGCAGACGCCGACAACAAACATCCGCCCGAACGAACAAGCAAACTCCGGCTTTGGCTTTGAAGGATTCTTCAAGCACAAAGCCCGGATAGTGCAAGTAGCCTGTGTCGGCCGGGCAGATTATTTGCGTCTCCGTCAAAAACATCATTGCTGGCCGTGCCGTCTCAAGATGGTGGTGGACGGCATTGAGGTTTGCATGGAGTCCGCGGATGTTAGCGAACTCGACCTCAAACGGTTTGGTTGTGGTGGGGGTGTGCACCGCTGTTCGACCAGTTTTTATTTTAAGCGCTGTCATGGTGGATAAAAGGAGGGAGGTGTGAATCGAGGAAAAGCTACCGCGATGCAGATGGTCAAAGTGTGGCGGCCTGTTTCGCCAGAGATCTGCCTACAGATGAGTATCATTAACCCGCCGGACGGAAGGGCCCCCGAACCCCCCCGGGAATGGCCACCGGGACCCCACCTTCCGGTCACCAACCGGCACGACGGACCACCCCGAGATTATGCGTGGCATGGTGAGGCAGCCTCACGAGCTGGTTAGACTCGCTTGGGCCCCTGTACTGTGCCACGGGCGGCCAGCGGAACAACCGTTTCTACGGGTCTCCCTGGCCGGCGGGTTATCAAAGTCTTCCTGGCACTGGTTCGACGGAAGCCTCCACAGACCAACTGCATCGCGGCAGCATTCACTCGAGCTCTGGTTATACGCTGGCTGATCCCGAAACGCGACCGACAAGCGGTCACTTGACGGGTTTTACACCATGCGTACGGTGGTCACTAACCAGACGGGCCATGCCCTACCACGCAGTAGAGCAGATGGAAGCTCTAAAATCCGTTAGTCGCCTCTTACGACACCCATCGGAGGAAAAGGGGCGGAGAATAGTATTCTTTCTCCGTCTCCGCACGGACGAAACAAGCTTATGAAGATTAAAGCATAAGTCTTGTGAAAATGAATTTGGAAAGCTTACGAGAATAACTGAACAAGTTATTAAAAATAATAAATAAGTCTTACGATAATGAATGAACAAGCTTCTGAAAATATGAAAAATTTCATAAAAAATAAAGAATAAGCCTACACTAAACGAATGAACTGGTAAATTAATTAATTAATTAATGTATTGAAAATAAATTAACAAATTTATGAAAATTAATGAATAAATACGTCAACAGCTGTCAAAAGCGAACTGCCACAGTTGTGATGTGTAAGATACAGCCACGGCCCATGTCGTATGTGTTATGTACCATTATAAGACATAGAGTAAATAAACAAAAAATCTCAAAATTATTAAGAATATGAACTAACGAAACGATTTTGTTCTAAATAGTAGCAATACTGTAGCACGGCAATTATTAAACATCAAAAAATCAAATTTCAAAGGGAGGCCGAAGCCTATTCTTGAAAGAACGTCAAAGTTTTTTATTTTACACCGAACGCTATTAAAACTTTCTTTACGCATTCTCTAATGACAGCTAATGAAGGTACACAAAAAAACCATGTTTACGTATCACCATGTGGCTTCCCTCACGTGGTGGTTACGATACGCTCTCGATAACAAAACATTCCGCACAAAGTGCCGTTATGTCGCCAAAGATGGCGGGGGGAGATGCTGCGGGACGAAGAGCGGAACGTCTCAATGGAACTCAACTTGTCCATTTCTCCGTATTTTAAATTTACCCTTGCGTGCGCGCACATTGATTCACAGTCGCTGCAGCACCGCCGTTAATGTCGGACGCGGGGTCTATATTTAAATACGAAAGTTTTGTTTTTGGAATTGGTTGATTAATTACTCATTACATAAGTTTGCACCACGATGGCCACTTCGAAATCGAATGGGGTTGATTCGACCGACTGGTCACGGATTCCGCAGGAATCAGGACCTCTCTGGAGGAGGATCTTGAGGGCTATTTACAACAGCGAGGAGAAAAGTTTCCTCGGGAGGACAGCGAAGCGGTGGGGTAAGTTATTTGTAAATCTGTATAACTCATGCGGGATAACGTGCACATTTGGCTGGAATTCTTGAAATGTCACATAATCTTATTATAAGTGTCAAATAATCTGCATTATGGAATCGAAAACATGGAATCTCAATGTATGAGCTTTTTGATTTCAAAACCAGTATCCCGCAGTACGTCTAGATTCGTTGCATAAGGAGTTGTTCTACTAACACATTTCTGTAGGATCAAAACTTTCCTACCTAAATATAGATAAACTATTAATGTTATTTAAACATTTTAAATTTATTTCTACGTAATTATTGGTAAACAAATTGTTTTAAGATCGTTGATTCGCCGGTCAATGAAATTTATAGACAAATAATACATAGACCTACGAATGTCATTCAAGTTTATACAGCTGATATGTGCACGCGAGCTATCTGAATGTGTTTCGTATACACATTTAATAATCTACCATACATAAAACTTGATCCTTTACATGTATGGGTGCTTTCTTAAAGCCTGAAACCAGTTTTGGTTGAATGTGTATAATAAAGCGACCTCCCCTATCCCAAGCTTTTATGAAACCAAGGTCAAGTTACGCTCCCATATGTAGGTATTAATTACGTTTTTTTTTCATTAGACTATTGTAATTACGTTATGAATAAAATGTACATGTGAGAATAGGCAGTAATCAAGGATAGCAAATAATACAATTTTCCGCTTGACTTGTTGCCCATTGAAAAGCTGTTCTATTTGCTGTTAGATCTATAGAAAAACCTGTGTACAGTCTAAATGTATACTTATAAAACACACAAAAGCAGGAACATATATTTAATCACACGATTAACAGCTAAACATAATCGTCAGAACTGCATATCAGAGTTTACACTATAAAGATCAATCAATCTGCAGCATAAAACAAATGTAAAGGACTGGCCTAGTAACCAACTTGCTAATCCAAAAATAAAGGTAAATATACATATCTGACATACAAACATCCAGACACAACAAAAACTTTTGATATGTGGACGTTGTAATTTTACGCGTTCTATTGCAACTTGATTATAATTTTTCTTAGAACTGAGCCAACAAACACACGTGTTGTGTTTTTTAAGTTCTACAGGCTACAGTTAACTTACTAAGTAGATACTTAATTATGTAAGTACCTTTAAACACGAGCTCGTTAATTCAACATACGTTGTAATATTATGCAGATAAGCGATAGCTAATGTGAATTATGATGCGTTTAAAAACGTCATAGAATTCAGCAGACGCAGATCGCGTAGGCACATACTTATAGGTGTTCTGCCTGCGCGCGCGCCGGATTTAGCGCGCCTTCGTCACTAGGTTATTAGCTTTTAACATTTACAATCCATACGCCACTTTATTATATGTGGTGTAAAGTTCAATTTTAATTTAAACGCTTTTCCAGCTGAAATATTAATCTTTATTGATAGTGCTCTTGGTTACTTATATTGTGATTTTTCTTTAATACGTAATGAATGATTTAATGCTATAAGTACCCAGGCAGTAAGGCCGCCGACGAAACCAAATAACACCTATCTACATACGTATAGATAACTACTGGCGGTTATTCAGTAGTATCTAATACTACGTCCCCATATAAACAAACAAAATCTAGTAAGTAGTAGGTAAGCATAAGTGTACATACATAAGTCTATATCGGATTGTATTTTTCCACTAGACTTGCCTTCGCAGAGCAAGAAGAATTTGCCGTGATTTGTCAGTGGTTCACGCCTTTTTCCCATAGGGGTAGGCAGAGACAACAGTCTTCCACTTGCTATGGTTCTGACACACATCTTTCGCCTCATCAACACGCATCAGCGCTTTCATACACGCTCGGCCTTTTTATACAACGGCTCGGTTGATACAAAGATCAAAATATATTGAAAAATTCCTTCGATCCGTCTGCACTCGAACCAGTGTCTGCTGCATCAACGTGGCTACCGTTCTGTTTGAGACAACAGACACTGACCCAGTCGCATCGTATTGGAGTGTTTTCAATAAAAAATGATTTTCAATAAAAATATACAGTGTGTCCGGGGATGTACTGTAAAAACTTTAAGGGCGTAAACTATGGTTAATTTTATCGACAAAAATAACATACGAGGGTCGCTTCCTCACAACCTTCAAAATACAGCCACTTTAATTTTTAAATTGAGAAAATTACCTCCCTTACTTAAACACCTGGGAGATGGGTTCCCAGACTTGGTTGCCCTTCATTTTGGTGTCATTTGAAAGGTAAGAACATTAAGTATTAAAAATAATAAGAAAATAACATATGTTTCTAACGACCCTCATATGGGGGTGTTTTTAAAATATTTGCACTACATCCCCGGACACACTATAGGTACGAAAGGTGGTTGCTGCTCTCTTGGACAAATTCATTAGGTGCATTTTTATAGGGTGCGTACAGAATCGGCGAATGTGTTGCATGTGCATTAATATAAAATGTGCTCTGTAATCTAATCGCATCTCATGCAAGCCTGGCATTATAGCGCGCGAGTGGCACGCGAACAGATAAAGATAAGATAAGGTCAATTTATTTTTCACTATAACTTAATCTAATACAATACACGTAAACAAATGTAACTAAAGCTATGATATGATAAATAAACAATAAAAGTTATATAAATTAATGGTTGATATATAATTATTAAAAAATTTCCAGCAGCCCTCTGTATCATCGTGAGTCTGTCTCTTAAGCTAGAATTTGATTTTTTTTTACATTGTATCTTATTCATGGCGAAATAATGCAAAGTAGAATTTAATTTATGGTAAAGTAGTGTGCCAAGGAAGCAGAAGAATCTGTGCGGAGTTGTGTACGAGATGAGAAGGTATCGAGTCGTTTCTTCGTCGCGTATCTTAAATTTTCAAAAACAATTATTTCCGGACTCTAGAAGTGCTACAATATGATATTTGAAATACGTCGATCATCGAACACTGCCTACGTAATGTACAATGCATTCGCCAGATTTGTACGCACACTAAGGGTAAGAACTCAAGGAGCATCCCGCGCGCGCTGCGGTTGCGGGACCCCGACTTCCGTACAGTGTAGATATTATGTACTACGTAATATTTAGTAGCACATTTTACGACGTGTTTTACGCAGGTGGCGGGATGGTTGCTCTCGCGGTAACCGCAGCGTCTGCGGGGTACTAGAACCGGGATGCGGTCACCCGCGCTCTTTGTAATCGGTTCCCCGGCGACGATCTAGATTAGAGATGGAAGAAACAGCTTATTAATTTGAAACGTTGTACTTTTTAAAATAAGTGTGCTTAAAAAAGCGATTTTCACTTATACACGCGTTTTAGTGTTAAGCTTACAATATCGTTTAGAAAAACGTTTATATGCGCTATTTTATATTTAAAAATGCTGGAAGCATTGTGTTGACAGCGAAAAGCGAGAGTAAGCCGCTAAATGTTATAGGATAAGTAAGGTTATTTACAAAACACGAGACTTGTTTTATTTATGACATTATTATTCACAATGACGAATTAATTTATTTAGGTCACATAGATGGCGGGACTAGACACTTGGGCACGTAAAAAATTAAATTGTTGAGTTGAACTAAAGCTTACGCCTAAAATGATAAGCGTGCTTAGATGCTTATATTAAAAAAGTTTTTACTTTTGACCGCACAAATTTGTGGTATCGTGAGTATAAAACAGCTCTCCCGCAGCTGCGGCGGGCGCGCGGTTAAAACCGCTCCGTGTGTTCATAGCCTAAGGGAATACGGAATGCAGCTAATCATAACAGAAAAACACACGGCAGATAATATCGACAGATATCGATATTATCTGCAGCCCTTATCCATTCTAATGGGAAATCGAAAGAATTACATCCCTAACATCTGTACTTTGCAGGTATCGTGGTCACATTCTACCTTGTGTTCTACGCTTGCTTGGCGGCGATGTTTGCGCTTTGTTTGGGCGGACTATTCCTCACCTTGGACGATAAGAGGCCCACTTACATTCTCCAGGAATCGCTTATTGGTACAGTGTATTATAGAACTGTGGACAATGCCAACTTTAGGTGTGCAATCTGTCAAAATTCTTTGATAAAAATTGTAACTCGTTATTTACGTAGCGTTGAAATTTGCTATTTTAAAAAGTGATAGTTTGCATAGTTAATCTTGTGGCTGAGTGCACTTTATACGTCGTTCATAATAATAATATTTCTACTATATAACGTGCAAGAATTAATGATTTATACCTTTATTCGACTTCCGCTTCGTATGTTTTAAAATTTAGACAAGTAGATATATAATCAAACGTCAAGTTATTACAATGCATTTACGAGTATGGTTTCGTAGGTCGCATGCCCCCAAAAGGATTCGTGGACGTGCGAATTAAGCAAATTGATAAGTACTCCAAATGGAGCCATGGTCAGGGGACGTGTTAAAATCTCATCGCACCATGTATGGGTTGATTGCTATATTATGCTTAGTGGGAACTGGAAGAGAAGCTGGTACGAACGACTACGCAGCGCTCTAACCCTTACCAGTATAAACAGATCTTGTAAAACCTACTTTTGCTATGACCACTAATGGCGCGATCTACCATCTTACGCTGGAAATGTATAATCGGTGCTATGACCGTGCGTGCCTATGCAAATGAAACTTAGAAGTACTTACTCGTACTTATCTGGATTAATCATATTATCAAGTTATCGAAGACTACCTTGCGTTTATAATATACAGACGGTACAAATAATCTTGCAACAGGTTTTAAAAGGGTTTTTATAGTTCAGGTAAAATTATTTCAAAGTTACATTTATTCCTTTTAATTATTAAAAAGAAATGTTGATATCTCGTAAAAACTTCACATTTAAATCGCTAGACTAAAATATTTCAATCAATAGTAAAGAAGCCGCATAAAATAAATGTATTGGCCCGTCACTTCACTTTCTGGATCTTATATTCTAATTGTCAAATTAGTCTCTTGTTTTTCATCATTATTGATAAAGGTCATTTGGTTTCCCGCGCTTTATGGATGAGTTGCGAGGTAATAAAAAGGGCTCTATATTTTTGGCCATTTCAGATAAAATTTCGCTGACCATTAAATGGTCATTTCTCGAAAACACAAAACTCTAACTTATTTCTACGAAGCACAAAAATAATGTAGGAGATTATCGGTCTGAAATTTCAACTTTTGACTGAAATTGTAGGTATAGGAAATATTTTTTTACATTTATTGAAAAATGAAATCTGATTTGACAGTTATACTATCGAAGATTTCCATGCGTTAACAATCTACAAACTGTCTAAAAAACCAAAAGAAAAGCAAAAAGACTTCGAAGCAATAAAAACAACAAAAGAAATTGATGTCTCATAAAAAAATCACATTTCAACCGATTGACTGAATAGTTGATAAATAGTAGGGGAGAACGGGGCTGAAAGTGCCGATTTTGACAAATCCTTAAATAAATCGATTGTAACCAATGCTACGGTTACTAGGTTTAATCTATCTTATGTCAAATTTCGTCTATATTTTAAATGTATATGAAGTTTTTGTGCATTTTGAATAGCTTTTTTATAGAGAATTAATCGTATGAACAGCGGTGGTAAGGCACTACTGACCCCTCTCTGGGGCAAGTTGTGCCGTAGCTGAGGTCGGTTGTGCCGTTCATCATATTTGGCCTTTAACATGGATTAAAATGGATTTAGAAGCAAGAAACTGTACAATTTGATAACATTATACTTATTCCTAATAAATAAAAAAATCAACATTTTTTATGGTTGGGCAATTTTTAACTAAACATAAGCAAAGAAAGGGAATTCTTTGTGGTGTGGCAAACACAAAGTAAGTTCTATATTAATAATTTGTACTTAATTTTAATGTAAATGAGATCTATTAAACAGAGTCATTAATAATTAGCCTTTATAGACCACATCAAACTTCTTCAAATCAAGCCGATTTCAACTGTGGAATGTTCTCGACACCAAATTTCATCGCACACTGGTATAGAAGTTGTCTAACTTCTGGTAGAAGACCGAAGTAGATAGAAGAGCTTTTTCGGACATATGACGTCTCTTGTTCATAATTAAACACCAGTCTTGGGTTATATCCAACCGACGGAGTAAGTCCACTCTTTATTTTCTTGATATACCGTTGCAGCGTTGTGTGACAAATCTTCAATTCACGCGAAACGGTTTTTAATGTGCATCCATCTTCAATGACCGCGTTAGCAGCCCCTTATAAGAGGTCTTGGGTAGTAGTTCTCCCCCTTTTCGCCTGTATTTTCTCATTCCATCAAACAAAATAATAAAGGTTAATAAAGGTTCGTGGGGGTCGGTTGTGCCGCGGCACAATTGACCCCCGATGAAAGGCACTTTTTACCCCGTTTGGACGTCGGCGTCGTTAACATTTTATCATATGACAAAAAAACAATCTGCTTATAGCATTAAAATTGCATAAATTAACATTATTGGACAAATTACAAATGTATTAGTATAAGTCCCATATCCGTAGCACCAGAAATGCTAACTTGAGTCCAAAAAGTATGAACACAAAAATATTTCCTCACGTGGCGCTAGAGGACCCCTACACACACTATCGTTCCGTGTGCGTCGCTAATGCAAAGAAATTGACCGCCGTGTATGCGCTAGACTGCCAGACAGTTGAAGATGAAATATGAACATATAGCTATCTCTTTCCGTTTTTGAGGTATTTGCATCGGTACAACTTACACCCGGCACTTTCAGCCCCGCTCTCCCCTAAAGAAATCGCATAACATAAACGATTTTTATCTTGTATGTCAATGACAAGTTTCAATTATTGTCCTGCAGTCCTTCAAAAATAGGTTAAAAAATACCTGTTTTGAGGACGCTGGAAAGCACATGTGGTATTTCAGGAACAAGCCCAGGGTTAGCATACAGGCCGTATCCCGCGGAAGCGGACTCCCCGCGCGCCATCGACGAGTATAAATGGAAGTTTCTACGTGACAATGTCACGGCCCATGAGGACTTCCAACGCCGGCTCGCGACTTTCCTGGACCGTGAGTATATACTTATACCGTCAAAGCTATGTACTTAACTCTATGAACTGCTATGAACTGTCTTGTCACGTAGAATTATATCCTAAGTGTGAAGGACGTTGTGCCGTGTTGTCCGTATTTACTGGTGCTACGACAAATATTTTCCCACGAGAAAATATATAAAATGAAAGGTATACGTTTCGAGTTCTTAGGTTTTCGCGATTGTTACACATAGGAAATGAAACTATTTTCCGGATTTAAATCGCATATATTTGTTTTTTCAAACAACCGTGACCATGGGACCTGTAAAGGGCCCGAAACGTCGGTTTGTTTGAAAAAACAAATATACGTGATTTAAATCCGGAAAATAGTTTCATTTCCTAGGTATACGTTGCTTTGAACCTCGATTTGAGAACATCTTTTGTAATTTTTTATCTTTTCTCTAAATAAACTTAGGATTATTTGAAAATGTACTGTAATAGAGTTTTCCATCCCATAATAGTGAAGTCAGAAGTGAGATGCTTGTGTTGGTCTTTCGGTCACTTGGTGTACCTCGGGTTATGTCGAAACGCGCCGCGAATCGAGAAATTCTTTAAAATAATACACATTAGAAACCATAAAATTTCGAAGAACCATAAGTTTAGATAGAACGGGTAATAATTACTACATATATGCTGGTTGAATTGTGACACAAAGCCTTCTCAATGAAAGCCTGCCGATCGACTCTTAACACCGCTGGTGTTATCGTGATAATCCTGTCTTCGTAAAGCCAAATATCATATCATCATGTCAGCCCGAAAACGTCCACTGCTGAACATAGGCCTATAGGCATAATGCCAAACTCAAGACTTACACTATGTCCACGTCTTTACATTTTGCTGCTCCAAATCCTGAGTATAGAAGAGAGCTATTCAAATATAGATTTAGAAGAACACAGAAATTGTTACTCACCATTCGCCGTATCGGATTATGTTCGTGTTACAAAGCATCGTGTTCTTGTGAGTTACTACTAGATTATTGCACAGAATTTTGTGTGTCTATCTATAATAATCTATTTGTCGCAGACGGAGCAACAAATCGAAACAATGATTTCTAACTGAAGCTTTGTGTACTTTGGTAACGTATGAGGACTGTCTTAATATGTATGTGTACCTACCACCACTGTCAAAACATACTTTAGGTAAATAAATATCAATCATTCTATGCAAGAGATCGAGAAGATTCCATTGCGTTTTTGCGTTTCCTGTTTTTATTTATTTCTTAACACTAAAGTGTTATGCTTTATGAGAAGTTAAAGTATTTTAAGTTTCCTCATCGTTGACTGAGCACAATTATAAAACTCTGCACTTAATAAGTATGTTGTGAAATTGCACGCTAATATCTATGACGGAGATGGTTTAATTTATACATGGAAATTATAGTGTGTGTAATTATTGACTGCTATCTCAGTAGATTTATATTAACTTTTAAATTTAGTTCCACATTAACCGTTCCTTATTCGGTCTATTAGGAAGTGAGGACCACTTCATCTTTATATCGTTGATTTTTTTTTGTTAGCAGTAGAGGTAAGGATCACGGAAGAAAGAAAATGGTCTGTGGTAAGGATGATGGTGAAATTACATTTACCGATTCTTCAATACCCCAACTAAACAAAGCCCTTTATTTTAACGTGTGACGCATTCAATTACGTTGCGTACGCTAACTTATCTCAAGGCGAAATTGACGACGACCTCAAGGACTTTAAATAAAAACCAATAGAACCTACATTACCAAATAATGTCTGTGCTATCTTTGGCATAAAGTTTTCCAAGTATTACCTGTATAGAGACAAATTCCGGAAGTTACGAATCCTTTACAATGGTTTTTCTATTTTAAACTTACGCTGAAGCTAATTAGATGGCGACTGAAACTTAAGAAATTTGGTTAAGATGCAAATGTGGCAAGTTAAATAATAACTCCAATTAAGAATCTTTTGATTGCAATACTGTAATTTAATGTAGTCGTGTAAATTGAGTAATCGAATAACCAAAATACGCTCTCAGACGTCGAATTGTGGACACCAAACCGCTACACCATACCATAGATCATACTGATCGAGGGACTTTTCAAGTTATGTCTTAGAGTGACGAGCGCAGTGACAGTGCTCTTTAAGCGGCTGTTATGGACAGGCGTGACGCTTACCACCAGTCGCACGACTTCTTCAACGTTCCGTCACTTTGTATCATAATAATCTCAGTACCTACAGAGTACTAAAAAAACCGACCTCAAAAGTTCGTGGAACTACATCTATTTTCCAAGTTTTATTGGAATCGTTTATCGGAAAGTGCGTGAAAACGAATCCATTCCCTGCGTAGCCACCCTTAGAGGTGGAATATATTGTTCAAATTTAAATGGAACCAGTAGAGGTACCCTATTACCATCAAAAAAGAATCATCAAAATCGGGTCACAAGTGTGTTCACGGAGTTATCATGTAACATACTTACATACAAGAAAATTGAGAACCTCCTCCTTTTTTTTAAGCTGGTTAAAAATATAGCGAAGAGAGCACAATGAATGCATAAATAAAACATTATGTAAATATCTAACTTCCATAAAGTTTAATGATTCTAACCCTTTTGTTTCGGATACTAGACTGTACCCTGAATAGGTATATTGGACCCTGATGCAAGAGACAATGAACGCAAAATGCTAGGGAAAAGCATGTCTTAACACAACACACAACAATAACAACAATAGGATCCTGACATGATCTCAGCCACGTAAGCACAACAGCATTCATGCTGAGTCAGCGAAGTTTTAAGGAATATGAACAGCCAACTTAAATACATCTTACGAATAACAATATTTGTCTCAAATAACTTAGGCCAAAATAGTCATCCACAATGACATAAATTATTGAAGCCTTTTATAGAAACAGAATAAAACAAAAAAACTCCCTACTAGACAATTCAGGCACTTACCCCAAGAGAGCCTGTACACCTGATTTAGAATCAGTAAATCATGTTAAGTTTGAGTTTTACATGATGATAATCTACGAGCACGTCCTATCGTTTTGAGATTTTTTTTGGAAACGGTGACGGAACGAACCAACGGAAGAATAATGGAAGGTGAAAAGAAATTCGAGAATGATTCAAAATTTCAAAAGTAAGTGGCCAGGAACCAGTATAGAGGCTGATAAAAAGGTGGGATGACAACGAAGGAGGTTGGCATCGTCACAACGCCTGTTCATAACAGTGTCACTCAAAGCAAAGTTTTGAGGGGCACAGCCACTGTGCCCATCAACCTGAGACAAGTACCTAGTGTCTACATTTTCACCAGCACCTTTATCCTTCAAAACCTGCTCGCACTACTACTTGCCGGCAGAAATAGGTAAGGTGGCCGTACTTTCCCAGACTCTCTTTCATAAGGAGCTCTACTACTACGATATCATTTCTATTTATAGCAGCATTTGCTTTTATATGTTATAGTTCATACACAAACATCTTCAAGCCCATGGCGTAACAAAAAGGCCTATATTTTATTTTATGACAACATCAACGTACATCTCAGCATAATCATCTAATAACAACTCAAACGCCCGTTGAGTTCTCGACCTCATATTGACGAAACACTACATTCTTAAGTCTACAGATTCTCTGGAACACTGCACTGGTTACATCAGATCTCTGAATCATAAATTTTATTACATTAGTCGGAAAGCTTTACAGAATATACAGTCATCTAAAGAAATATTGAAACATTGTTGGGATTATGACTCACGTTGTAAATAACGTGACCATACGTCCCGCTTTGACAAAACAGGACAAACGTGAAAATAAATTTAATATAATGGCACGAAAGAGAAGCATCAAGTAAACCTTGTCGCACGGTTCTTTTACTTGTGCGTCCGTAATGCCTGTGTATTGTTTTTGGCGGTGATGTGCGGTTGGCGGGTGGCTGCAGTGGAATAGGTTTAAAATCTCAACCGCAAATGGCAAACTCTCATATAAATTTTTGTTGACATAATTTTGTATGCGTCTGTTTATGAAAAATATGTGAAAATGTAGAGTTGAAATTCCTGAATAAATTTTGTTTTGGGCTTACTATTCTGAGAAGTCAGGAATTAGAGATATTCCACTTTGAAGTTTTGGAGGTTATGTGTTATGTAATTGAAAAAAGTATATTCGGTGTATTATTATATAAAATTAAACAGAGTTAATAGAAGCTGAGTGGTGCCGTGGGATTGTGACGTGGCGAAAGTTCAAAGGAAATTATTTTGTGTACAGGTATGTCAAAAGGCATGAAGTTAAGCCGTAACAAAAGAAAATGAGTTAATTTTTTTTTTTTATTTATTAAGGCTTTGGCAAAGCCATCAGCGTAAACATGAAGTTTAATTTTGTTTCTGTAAATATGGGCGCCACAAAGAGGATAGGCAATTTGAGGCGGCGTGCTTGGATTGACTCGGGATTCCTTAAAACGGACCGATACGGGTATTTTAGTTCGAGATTCGTATAATTTCGCGTTTTAATCTTCGATTAAGGCACAATAGCACTATCCTATTCCACTTCAAACTAGATTTCACAAAATAATTGAAAGTCAAAATAAAAACGACACTTTTCCCTCCAAAAGGTCCAGAGCGAATCCTTGAGTTAATTAATAACATACCACAGACTATTGCACTGGCAACTCGGACTCAAATATTTTTTTTGTGAGACGTGCCATCTATCCCTGATTTTGGGAACTTTTTTGTCAGTTTTTTAATTTTCTTGCATGGCATTTTGGAAAAGAAATTATCGACTTTACTTTTTGTAATGAAGTAGTTAATCATTTATTAGCTTATAACAAATCGGTCGAACAGTACGTTTGATATTACGTGAACTAAACGTGGACCATATTCATAGGTAGGTACTGAAATTTTTTTTTGGTGTCTAGATGTTGCTCAACGTTAAGGAACTAAGAAACTGATAGTTATAGATATCAATCCGCTTACATACTAATTAGTCACTACAGTTTCTTATAAATATGATTTTATATCCAGACT